CCCTTGCTCCACTCCCTCCTTTGCTGTGGGGACCTCAATCTGCGCCTCATGCCCCTTCCCCCCAACAGACTTACCAGCTGGATGCCAAGCTGCCAGACTGCATATCAACAATTGGATCAGTATCAGCCGATATGGCTGGTTAATAATCAGCCATCAGTATCGGCCCAAAAAGTCTTTATCAGTGCACCCCTAATTTAACCCTTCTGTCCCTACAGAGTATCCCTACAGTTAACACATTAAACTGACTGACATAGCTCTATCACAGTCAACACAATTAGGTATTAACGCAAATGACACCACTCAGTGACATGGAAAAAGGAGGAAAATGTATACAGAACCCAGACTCTTCTGCTCCATGGCAGCAACTAGTGACTAACTGATGGAAATCAAGAAGTTTCTACACTGGACTAGACATACTGTTAGTACAGTCTACGACAGCAATACATTCTCTTTCAAATCAAGGCAATACATCCCTACATTAACACAAAATGAACGAGTTCTTATTAGCCAAATTCTGATTAAGCCCAAGGTTTCTCTTTTGTTTTTCCATTTTCTCTCCAAGTAAATAGATGGCTTAATGCAGGACTAAATAGTAAGTCTTTCAACTCTCCCAAAACTTGGTGCGTGACTTGCCCAAGTCACATCTTTGATGTCTCACTTTCTCCAGCCATTAAATGCAGATGCTATTGTACTCACCTGCTTAACAAGCTATGGCAATAGACTAGTTTTCAAACAGTTACTGGGAAGGCACGTAAGTATTATTATGGAAGACTTCATTATGCTTTCAGTCTTACTATCTGTAAAATCTTTTTATGACTTAAAATAAAAATAAGCTAAATCCTTGTAGACTCACTGGACTTCATCACATCAATGTATCTGATTATCTTTCACATAACACTACATGCCTAAACATTCTAAGTTTTCCTTTACCTACTAAATTTACTAGTTACCTTCACACGTAGAGAACTCAAGTGGGGTATAGGCAACTACCAAGTTGGCAACTACCAAGTTGGCATTGACACTCACGGGGATCCCCAGCAAAAGGAACTAACAAGCATTAATTTAGCCTAGCAAAACTACCATGGCCTGGAGTCCCAGGTCTGCTGGCTCCCCAAAACAGCTTTGGCCAGTAGCAGAAAGCAGAGCTAACATATGGTGTAAGTGATTGCAGACCAGAAACGCAAGAAAAACCAAACACACTCAATATTTTCTTTCATTTGGATTTTGGAAAGAAATTTTTCCTAATCTCTCTATCTTTATCTTATCTCTCTTTCCTAATCTCTCTATCTGCTTGCTCTTAAATAACTACATTCATGAAAACTAATATGTGGACCAATGATTGATGATGATACCTTAGCTTTTAATAAAAACAAAAAGCTTTGGCTACAGATAGGTTACAGGTGATGTAAAATCATTTGACCTAAGCAAGTATCATAATTTCTTCCATACCATTTCTGCAAGTAGTCCAATGCCTCCAACCGAGCACCAATCTCGAAGGTGATCCCAGGACGATTTGGAGGTTTTTTACTCATCTTCGTAATGTCTATCCTCTTCTCCTTTTTTTTCCTACCTTTAAAAAAGAATAGTGGGATATTACAAAGAAGGAAATACTGCTTAAATCCCAAGTGGCATCCTAAGCAAGTACCTTGCATGTCTATGAAGAAATATAAACCTATTGGAGATTTACATCCATCGGTGAATCCCAGTGGTGCGCTGAAAGTGAAACCTTTTACAGACAGGACGGTGTAACAAAAAAACCCAACCCTATGGAAATACACTTTATCCATTCCCCCAAAAAACAGAGAAATCCTCAGCTCAAAAACCACCTAGTTTTCAAAGCAGTAAACTGGAGTCTTGGTACAACACTTAACCCCCAGCTCCCTCGATCTCTTCATCATCTTAAGACATTTTCCTCGCCGTTATGTAGAAAGGGGCTTTACGGAGGAAGAATGAAAGGGGGCAGGCATATATGCTGCGGGAACGAACAAATGAAGCCGACTGCTGCCGGCGTCCCTCGAAACTCTACCGCCAGCGAGCTCAAATCTCGACCGGGAAGAAACCCGGGCTCCAAAAGGGCTGCTCTTGGCACCCGGCAAACAGGGAACAACCAGCACGGGTCAGGTCAGAGCTGCCCCCAAACCGGTGGGCGAGGACACCCAGACCACAGGGGGCTCCAGGTCTGTTCAGGGGGCACCGGGCACACAAGAAGCCCCCTTCGCGGTGGGGCCCCTCTGGCTCTTACTAGGCATGAGAGAAGGACAAGGGGCATGGGGGCACGCTGAGGGGAGAACCCTGAAGGTGCCCCAGACGCCTCCAGTGCACTGGGGCCCGGTCTAGGCAACGTGCCACGAGCCCGCCGCGACCCCCGGGCCGGGGGGAGGGGG